TTTTTTTTTTTTTTATTTTAGAGATGAGGTCTTGCCAAGTTGCCCAGGCAGGTCTTGAACCTGCGGGCTCAGGCAATTCACTCACCTCAGCCTCCCAAAGCGCGGGATTACAGGCTGAGCCACCAAGCCCAGCAAACCCATAAATTCTTTTTTTTTGAGTTGGAGTCTCACTCTGTCGCCCAGACTGGAATTCAGTGGCCGGCAGCCTCGATCTGCTGGGCTCCGGCGATCCTTCCGCCTCAGCCTTCCGAGTAGCTGAACTACAGGCGCGCGCTACCACGCCCGGCTGCTTTTTTGATTTATTGTAGAGATGAGGTCTTGCTGCCCAGGCGGGTCTCGAACCCGCGGGCTCAGGCAATCCACTCACCTCAGCCTCCCAAAGGCGCGGGATTACAGGCTGAGCCACCGAGCCCGGCTCCATAAATTCTTAACAGCCTCTGTTGGGGTGGTAGAGGATGTTTCCTGACCAGTTGACTTAACGTGCCTTTTTGGTACCTACAGCTTTTATATGCGGTCACCTCTTTGTTTCCTAGAAGTTGCTTTTTATATGCTTTAAATCACTTTATCTGCATATGTGAGTGGTTGAGAAGTGTGGAAAGCTGGTGAGAAACAACTCCTTACCCAGGCATCCCAGGAGAGAGGGAGGAGATGCAGAGATCTGGAGTGCAGGGTACTCTGAGGATGAGGGTGGGAGCACACGCCCTGGGGATTCCCAGGAAGTGTTCCCAACTCCAAAACAACTCCCAACTATGAAGTAACCTGGGACCAGATTGGACAACAAAACTGATGCCAGTTGGGGTGTGGTGCAAAACCTGTGGATTCTTTGACTTGTTTCTAAAATGAATTCTATAGCAGCCAGCAGAGTTTTAAAACAAAGTTTATTAGCAAAAAAAAGACAAGGAAAAAGGAAGACTCATGGCAGAAAGACATGCAGTGGGCAAGTGTTTCAAAGAAGGAAAATCCCCAACTCTTAGTGGTTTTAAAGAACAACATTTATTATCTCACAGTTTTTATGGGTTAGGATTCTGGACCTGGCTTAGATGGGTCTTCTGCTTCCTGGTGTCTTCCACAGCTGCCATCAAGGTGTTGGCCAAATCTTTGGTCTTATCTGAAGGTGTGACTGAGGAAGGATGAGCTTCTAAATTCATTCAGTGGTTGTTGGCAGGATCCAGCTCTTTGCAAGTTGTCACACTGAGGGCCTAAGTTACTCACTGACTACTGCTCCTAGCCGGCCCCCAGTTTTTTGCCACATGGGTCCATCCAATAACAGCAGCTTTTTCATCAAAGCATGTGAACCAAGAAGGAAATACAGAGAGTTGGCCAGCAAGATAGAAGTTATAGTCTTTTAAAAATTAACTGTGGACTTCCAGTCCAGGTCCTCCTCGAGGTGATCACCAACGTGCAGCTCGCCATCTTTGAGAACATGCTGGGTGTGTCACTCTTCCTGTTCGTTGTCCTCTACCACTACATGGCCATCAACATCCCCAAGAAGCCGGAGTGAAGGCGGCGCAGCCCACAGGGCTCCAGGACACAGTCTGAGGCAAGATGGAGGTTGCGAGGGGCCCTCACACTTCGCCTCGTCCCTCCTGCCCATCACCACACACAAAGAAGCTGCACCTGGATTTTCCAAACAACTTTTATTTCCTCAAACTCTTCCCTGACCCCATGGAGCAAGAAGCTGCCACTGAGTAGGGCCCAGCAGAGGGGCTGCTTGCTTTTCATTCCCTCCTCCCCCATATAAAAATATACTCTTCAAAAAAGAAAATTAACTGTGAAAGTGACATCCCATCACTTTTGCTGTATTCTACTTGTTAGAAACAATCCATGAGTTCCAGTTACTTGGAAGGGAGAGACAGAAGGATTGCCTGAGTCCAGCAGGTCGAGGCTGCGGTGGCTGTGAGCATGCCACTGCATTCCAGCCTGGGTGACAGAGTAAGACTCCAACTCAAAAATAAAAGAAGACTGCCTGCCACATCAGACACAACTGTTGCAAACACAGTGCTGATTCATGAGTACGTAGGAATCACACGAACAGAAGCAAGAAAGTGGATGCTTGGCTCTATTGGGAAATGATTTGCTGCTATAGAAGAATCTGTCACATTCATGTTGAGAGGTAGGATTTGACAAGTTAACGTCTCTTTTTTAAGCCTAATCATTTTGCCATTGAAGTCATCTCTGTACTCTGAAGCAGCATTTATCTTCGATGTTGCCACCAGCAAAACCAGCAAGCCATTACAGCATTTGAACACAGTTGTCTTTTGTAAGGCAAGAAATATGGAGAAACACTTCTCTGGGACCTGAACAATGCTAATTATGCGAACAGATGTTTAGGGTTAGGAGGTGCACTGGGCCAGTGCTGAGTGACAGAGGATGACGAAGATACTCTTATATCTTTATATATTTATATATATAGTGTGTGGGTGTGTGTGCATGTGTGTGTGAGAGACAGAAATAGGCAGGGAGAGACAGAGACAGATGGGGGATGGGGAGAAAGAGTCCGAGAAAAAGAGAGAGAGAGAGGCACAGAGAGAACATAATATTATATGTGGGACCCTCTATCATGAACACATAGAACAGCAGTCCTTTTTGATTGGAACTGGTGGCAGAACTGTGTTTAAGGTACCTGGAGTCTGGACTTGGTGGCTCAGCCTGTAATCCCAGCACTTTGGGAGGCCAAGGCAAGTGGATTGCCTGAGTCTGCGGGTTAGAGATCAGCCCAGGCAAATTGGACTTGGCAAGACCTCGTCTCTACAATACATCAAAAATTAGCCAGGCGTGGTAGAGTGTGTCTGTAGTTCTGGCTACTTGGAAGGCTAGGCAGAAGGATCCCCTGAGCCCGGCAGGTCAAGGTTGCAGTGACTGGGAGTGTGCCACTGCACAGAAAAGCAGCAAGAAAAAAAGAATTTTCAAAAAAAAATTTTCAGCATTTAAGTACAAACATTGTTGACATTTTGATCTGTATTTCTCTATATATTTTCTTCCAGGTGTGATTTTCATTTTTTGTTTAACAGAGTTGTGACTATTTTTACAAGTATAATTTTGTATTCAGTTGTTTTCACTTGGTATTAAAACATGAGGCGCATTTTCATGTTACTATGAACTATTTATTCATAAATATATATATATATTTTTAGTTGGAATCTCACTCCATTGCCTAGACTGGAGTGCAGTGGCCACTCCCAGCCACCGCAGCCTCGGCCTGCTGGACTCCGGTGATCCTTCCACTTCAGCCTTCCAAGTAGCTGGAACTACAGGCGTGCACTACCACACATGGCTAATTTTTGATTTATTGTAGAGATGAGTCTCGCCAAGTTGTCCAGGCAGGTCTCGAACCCGCAGGCTCAGGCAATCCACTCACCTCAGCCTCCCAAAGCGCGGGATTACAGGCTGAGCCACCGAGCCCAGCTCATAAATATTATTTTTAAAAAGTCCATGCTCTGTTTTCTACCTTACTCTGCTTTCCGGGTAAAGACAGTAAGTCAAATATTGCTCAGAAACATTTCTTTTGTTAGTCCAAATTTCAGCCTGGCTCAATTTCAGATTCTTCAGAATCTAAAAATAGCCTCTTTCTCTCTCTCTGTCTTGATAGAGGATTAACTATTTTTGGTGTTTGGAGATTCAGGAATTTTATGGGCTTGGAGGAAGAGGAAAGGGTATAACATGGCAGTTCATCACTTGAATTGAAAGCCAGGTCTCAAACTTTGAATTGAGGGGAGTCTCAGAAAGAGGACCACTCACTTAATATTAAGTTGATCTACTATTAAATCTTAATACCATACAAATTACAGTTTTAAAAACTTTAGATTTTTATATTTTAAAATAAAAAGGCAGCCAGAAAGACTGTCTCTTGATAGTTATTCTTTTTGACTTCTCTACAGAAACAAAAAAGCTGAGAAAGATCATGTTTATGCAGGCCCAGTACTTAGTTGAGGGTTATTATTTACTTAATAAGTTCATAAAGTCTTTACCACTGAGTGATAAATGCCAGCTTTTTAATTGAACTCACTCTAGTTTTAAAAATGTTTGGTCTTTGAGGTATGGCCTGTCAAATACTCAGTTGGCTAGGTACCTGTGTGAACATGACAATTGTTTGCCCTTGAGAAGCTTAAAATCTACTGAGAGAGATAAACATATACATAATAAAACCAGGCAGAATGTAAGCAGCACTCAGTAAAGATACAGTCTTATTGTGGCATCAAAGAGGGATAAATTCTGAATGATGATTTTGCATCAGAGTTGGCAATTTGACCAGGGCTAAATATATATGGGGGGAGAGGGGCAAAACCCCCTGGAACTTATTTACAAAAAATTGTGTATTTATTCTTACATGTTTAAACTTCAGTCACCTTCAGATTCTCTCCACATGATGCAATACATCTATCGAGATGCTTTTTCCACTGCTCAAAACAGTTTTTGAACTTGTCAATGTTGATATCTTGTAGTACTTCCGCCGTTTTCTGTTTCACCTCTTCCATATCCGCAAAATGTTTCCTTTTGAGGACTATTTTCATCTAGGGTAACCAAAAAAAAGCTGCTTGAGGTGAGATCAAGTGAATAGGGAGGGTGGGGGCACGCGGGCCATGCTGTTTTTGGTCAAAAACTGCTGAATACTCAGTGAGGTGTGGGCGGGTGCGCTCGTAAATCACCCATCATGAAATGGGCAAATCTTCAAAAAAAAAATTCACTGAGCTGAATGCAGCCTCTCCTTTTTTTTTTTTTTTTTTGAGTTGGAGTCTCACTCTGTCACCCAGACTGGAGTGCAGTGGCCACTCCCGGCCACCGCAGCCTCGACCTGCTGGGCTCCGGCGATCCTCCCGTCTCAATCTTCCAAGTAACCAGAACTACAGGCACGTGCTACCACACCCGGCTATGAATGCAGCCTCTCACAACAATGCTTGCTGGTACACTGATGCCAATGGGTTCCTAGAACACTTACCTAGTGAGGGAAGCCTGTATTACAAGGGACCCACCCTCCACAAAACAATTCTGGTTTATTTTGGGTTCCCTCTCATATATACATCTATGTATGCAGATATATATTCACATATGTATTTATATGTATATATACTTTTGTATATGTGTGTACATACATGTACGTGTGTATGTATTGTATATATACGGATTTTTAATATAACAGGTACATTGAGAACAATTTAAACTGTAAGGCAATTTTTTTTTTGAGTTGGAGTCTCACTCTTTGTTGCCCAGGCTGGAGTGTAGTGGCACGCTCACAGCCACCACCACAGCCTCGAACTGCTGGGCTCTGGTGATCCTTCCGCCTCAGCCTTCCAAGTAGCTGGAACTACAGACGCATGCCACCACGCCTGGTTAGTTTTTTGTGATTATTGTAGAGACGAGGTCTCACCAAGTTGTCCAGGTTTGTCTTGAACCCCTAGGCTCAAGCCAATCCTCTTGCCTCGGTCTTCCAAAGTGCTGGGATTACAGGCTGAGCCACTGTGCCTGGATAGAAATATGTATTATAACCAAGATAATGACCCTTAACAGTTTGATTTATAATCTTCAGTTTTTATGTATATACTCACACAAAATATTATTCTTACACACATTTGTTAATGAGTGTTTGTGAACTATAATGTCCTAGAAACTCTTTAAAGGGCTTGAGTTACATAGTGTACAAAACCAATGATTCTTGCTCTCAATGGGCTTACGTTTTAGTGGGTTGAGACAGAGAATAAACAAAAACTAAAATAAGTAAATTATGTAGAATGCCGAAAGGTGATAAGTCCCATGGTGATAGAAGAAGAGAAATAGAGGATGAAAAGGCAGGTCAAGAGTCCTGGGGGATGGAGACGGGCGCAGAGGTTCAATTCATGCCTGCAATCCCAGCACTTGGGGAGTCTGAGGTTGGAAGATTGCCTGAGGCCACAAATTTGAGACAAGCCTGGGCAACACCATGAGACCCTGTCTCTACAAATAAATAAATAAATATATAAGCAGGTATGATGATAGTCCCAGCTACTTGGGAGACTGAGGCAGGAAGATTAATCACTTTAGCCTAGGAGTTGGGGGCTGCAGTGAGCTATGATCAGGTCACTGCACTCCAACTTAAGTGACAGAGCCAGACCTGTCTCACGAAAAAAAAAAAAAAAAAGAAAGAATTCTGAGGGATGGATTGCAATTTTAAATTAGTGCTCATGATGGTAGGGCTCTTTAAAGGTGATGCATGAATGGGGATTTATAGGAGGTGAAGGAATGAGCCTAGCAGATATGAGGAAAGAACATTCTGGGCAGAGAGGACAGGCAGTGCTGAAGCCCTAAGTTGGGAATGTGCCTCCTCTGTGCCTTTTTTTAGTCAGAGAAGTCTTTAGCATTTGGAACTTGACAAGCTCACTGTGGCAGAGAAAAGTTTTGCGATATTCTAATTTTCACTTAAAAGCTCAAAATTTTATCATCAACAAAAAATACCACATTGTGTTCTTTGGAGCAACAGGCTCACTTCATTCATTTTTGAAAAAAATGGCTGCCAAATGCCAAAACCTG